TTCTTAAACTCACTTATGGCGTCAAGACTGTTTCCTGTTATGAACAAATCGTCTACATATATCGCAACAATAAGAATCATATTCTTCTCTTCCTTGCGACATACTGCATTCTCCTTGTAGCAGCGACTGAACTTCAAACCTTTCAATACTTGATCTAGCTTTGTATTCCAAGCTCGTGGTGCTTGTGTCAAACTGTACAAGGCCTTTGAGAGTTTGTAGACTTTCTGTTCTTTTCCTTTAACCTCATATCCTTTGGGTTGTTCAACGTACATGTCTTCTTTTAGCTCACCATATAAGAAGGCTGTCTTTACGTCTAAGTGATGAATTTTCCATCTTTGTAAAGCTGCTAGGGCACTCAGCAAACGGATCGTTTCAAGTCTAGCCACCGGTGCAAATACTTCATCGTAATCAATGCCTGATTCTTGTACGTATCTTTGCTACAAGTCGCGCTTTAAACTTCTTGATAGTACCATCAGCATTTCTCTTTAGCTTAAAGATCCACTTGAGGCCTATTACTTTTTCTCCAACTGGTCTTTCAACAAGTATCCTTGTCTCGTTCTTGTTGATTGAATCTATCTCTTCTCCGCAAGCACCTCTCCACTTTGATGAACTCTTTGCTTCTTTGTAAAATCTTGGTTCATCATTCCTGGAAAGTAAGAGCTTCTCGATCTCTAGCTTATTTTGTAAGACGTAGTCATCTAGATATCGAGGCCTGCTTGTTTGCCGTGTTGACTGTCGTAATGGTTGCTGAATTTGGTGAGGTTGTTGTTCTGTTTGGACCGAATTGTCGTCTTCTACAGGATCATCTTGATCAACATACTCGTGAAGTTCTTCATTGTCGTTGATGACTACTGGTCCTTCTCCAGAATCTATAACTTCTCCCCCACATCATCTGAAACATCCCTGGAGCTCGTGTTTGATCAGATGTATTGTTCCAGCTCCAACTTGTTTTCTCGTCAAACATTACGTCTCGACCTACTACGATTCTTCATGTAGATGGGTTGTAAAGCCTGTATGCTTTGGATCCTGGCTCCGTTCCAAGGTTGACCAGCGCTAAGGACCTGTCATCCAGTTTCTTAAGCATTGCACCATCTATCTTTGCGTATGCTAGACATCCGAAAACCCTGAGGTGATTTATATTAGGTTTCTTCAGGCGCAAGCACTCGTATGGAGTCATATTTTCAAGAGCTCTCATTGGTACGCGATTGATTATATAAGTTGAGTGACGAACTGCTTCCCCCCACATAAAATTCGGTACCTTCATAGCCTTTAAGGTGCTCCTCGTCATCTCCATCAACGTTATATTCCTTCTCTCTACCACACCGTTTTGTTGCGGTGTGTAGGGAGCCCTTAGATGCCGTTTGATGCCATTTGAGTTGCAGAAATTAAGGAATTCTTGTGAAGTGAACTCACCCCTCCTATCCGTTCTCAGTGTCATAATCTTCTTCTCAAGATCCCTTTTGACTAGTTCCTTAAACGACTTGAATCTATTGACAGCATCACTCTTCTCTCTCATCAAGATCGACCACATATATCTTGAGAAATCATCTATGATCACAAATATATATCTGTTATTTGCGATGGTTTGTGGAGTGATTGGTCCGCATAGATCAGCGTGTAGTAGTTCCAGTGGTTTGGTTGCTCGGAATGTTGCTTTCTTGGGAAAGGTTTTTCGAGTTTGTTTTCCTACAAGACAAGACTCACGGAATGTTGGTTTCTCGGTAACCCTTGCACCATCTCCTGTTGTGACATACTTTTGATAGTTTTAAAACTAATATGTCCCAAACGTGCATGCCACTTCCATGTTTTATCTTCTAGTCTAGAATTTAGACACAGAGGCTTTCCGGTTTGTAGCTTTATCTTGTATAGTCTATACGGCGAACGTGTGACTCTAACCAGCAGTCTTCCACTTGGATCATGTACGGTTAACTAGTCTAGTTTCATCCTAGCATCACATCCCACTTCCGTAGCTTGTCCCAGACTTAGGATGTTGCTCTTGAGATCTGGAATGTAGTAGATGTTAGTAACTAGCTTCTGCTCACTGGTTTTGCTTTGAAACAAGATCGATCCCTTTCCTTCTATCTTCACGTGTGAGTCATCTCCAAACTTGAATCTGCCCTTAATATTACGGTTATGTTCAGAAAAATATGACAAATTTCCGGTCATATGATTGCTAGCTCCGTTATCTAAATACCAAATATCTTCTTCTCCAAGGTTGGTTTCGTATTTCTTTGGTACTAGATTTTCTTCATTCAGAAACACAAGATCATGCATATAGAGAGCAGGATCAGCTTCCTCTGTATCTATTTTGTTTGATTCTTGTATTTTCTGAAGTCTTTCTGGGCATACGAATGCGAAGTGGACAGGCTTATCACATCGAAAACAGACTATCTTTGATCTGTCCTTCTTCTCCTTTTCTTGACTTTGATCTCGTTGATTTGTTCTCTCTTGTGAGTTGAATCTTCCACGACCTCTTCCACGTGAATTGCGACCTCTTCCACGTCCTCTTGAGATCTCACCTCTGTATTCTGTTTTAGAGAACTACAGATTCCCTTGAGTCTCATCTTGACTGGTTTTGTTTCGTATACGCTCCTCATATGCTTTGAGCCGTCCTACTATGTCCTCGAAGCTCGTCGTATGAATATATGATATGAATATATTTAGATTCTGGTAAGGCTTGAAGAAACTTCTTCACCATTAACGCTTCATCAAACGTATCGCCTAGGGTTGTGGCTGTTGCAGCTAACTCCGATATCTTCCCCGCGATTGTGTCCAACATAATCTGAATCCTTCATACTTATACGCTCGAACTCAGACCTCAAGGATTGAAGTCTTGCATCTTTAACTCGGTCGGCACCAAGGTTCCTTGCCTTGATTGCTTCCCATATAGCTTTTGGTGAATCTAGATTCCCGACTTGTAATATTAGATTCTCGGGTATAGATGAAAACAATAAGACAGTTGCTGCATCGTTCTTATTTTGATTGGTTGTCCCAGGATCTATTGCTTCCCATACCTCATGATACCTTAGGGTTACCTTCATTCTCATTGACCATACGGTGTAGTTCGATGCTGTTAACATCGGACAAGTAGTCGATGACATCGTGAGCCCCTTTGACTTCGTTGGAGGTTAACGTCTCCCATGTCTTAAGCTTCTTTTGTTATCGATTATAACCTCATGCTCTGATACCAAATAAAGTATTTAGATCTCAGAATATATAAACAAATTGCTCTTCTTTATTGATTTGTCTCAAAAATATTACTCAAAAACTAAGACAATCCTACTCTCTCGTTATATCATTACCACAACTCGGTAAGTATATATATAGTAGAGATCTTTTCCTTTTTTTCTATTAGCTATAGATAACTCTTAATACCAATAGGTTTATATTGAGCTTATCTTATCTCTAACCGATTTGTTAGAGATTATCTTGAGCTCCAAGTAAACCAAAGGTTACCCAACAATGAAAAATTGAAAGATCAGAAATAAAAAATACTAGGTGTTTTACCCGCACTTGCGGGCATAATTCTTTTATGAATATTTATTAGTTAGTGTTTCATTAATTTATTACTTATGTTTTCAGAAAGTAAAAATCAAACATCAAATAATTATAAATGACAAAACTCAAACATCAGAAATATTTAAAAGAATATATTTTTATAATTATTTTGCTTGATTTATATTTAATTATAATATTTATAGAAATATTTTAACTTAATTTATATTTAATTATAATTTTTATATCTTAATTCTAAATTTTATAATAGAAAAAAATATTTTCAAGATAAAATATAATGCATAAGTTATTTATTTTCTAAAAATATAATATGATAAATTTATTTTAATTATATAATAATTATATAAGATTATAGAAATGATGACATATAATTATAACTCTTAAAATCATGGAGAACTTAACAAATCAGAAAATTCACTTCTTAAATAATTTTGCTTGAGCGATGATTTTTTTTAATTAATAATAGATAATTTTCTATTTTACTTCTAAATCATATAATATAAAAATATATTTTCAAGATGAGAACATAACATATAAGAATTACCTTATTTTCTCAAAGTATAATATTTTTAGTGAAAATTTATTTTAATTATAGAGTAACTACAACTTTTTAAATTTCTAATAGAAAAATATATTTTCAAGACAACAACATAATACATAATATAAGTGTCTTATTTTCTAAAAATCCGATATTATTAATATAAATTTCTTCTAAATATATAATAAATTATATATAAAATTATAGAAATTAGGATAATTATCAAAGTTACCTAAAATCATGGAAAATATGATAAATCAGCAAACATTAAATTCACTTCTTAATTAATAGTATATATTTTTTACTTGTTCATTTTAAGTTTTATAATAAAAATATATTTTTAAGATAACAACATAATACATAAGAATTAACTTATTTTCTAAAATATCATACTATAATATAAATTAGTTTTAATTATATAATCAATAGTAAAAAAATTAAAGAAATTAGGATAAATGATCAAAATTACCTAGGATCATGGAGAAGTTGACAAATCAACATATTCACTTTTCAAATATTTTTGTTCTAAAAATATGATATATTCATATAAATTCGTTTTTTTATAAATAAATTTATATAAATATTAAAAATATAATAAAGAAATAAAATTAACTAAATTTATGGAGAACATGACAACTAAGAAAATTTATTTCTTAAATAATAGTATAGATATGACTTGCATTATTACGGGCGAGGTGCCCTGCGAGGCTGCGACAAACACATAAAAGCAAAGAGAAAACTAACTCCACCAAAGGACACAGATTCTCACAATAATAGTGGAAAAACAATACAATTCGACATTACCATATTAATTTTAAGCGCATGAAGAGGATTTTAACATAGTAGATATCATCAGACGACTGATGTGCTTAGATTAAGCAAAAGAGTGAAAGAGTCTCAAGAACCAGTCGGGTCTATATGAAGTCAGAATAAGGCCGAGGGTGAATCAACAGAATACACCAGGTAGATATGTTATTGCAGCTGCAGTCCAGCTCAATACTTGATATTTTTCTTCCTTTTCTCCATCTTGATTTCTTGCTTCTTCTCCTCCACTGCAAGTTTTTTGAAGAGGAGCACCGCATAGCCCAGGATTCTCAGCGAATGAAGAAATATTCTGGCTTTGAATTTGAGTGCCTTGAGGTATTGGACCTTCAAGTCTGTTGTATGATAAATTCATCCACGCCAGAAAAGTGAGTTTCCCGAGCTCCGGTCGGATTTTAGCGGATAATCCATTTTGAGACAGATCCAATGACTGAAGACTTGTTATGTTTGACAAAGACGGTGGAATAGGGCCTGTGAAAGCGTTGTTTGACATGTTGAGCACAATCAGTTCATTCAGTAAACCGATGGATTTGAGAATGCCTCCTTGGAATCTGTTTCTAGAGATATCGATGGTTTTGTAGATTGTGAAACCACTCCCAACCAGCTTCATTTTCGATCCTTTATTTGTCAGAGCCACAGACGCCTGATAGTGTGGTTTGCCAACTCCTGAAAACCTATACTGCGAATCACCTTCGAAGTACACAACCGGTAATGACATGGCGCTCCAAGCAGCAAAGAAATCTGATTGCAAGACCCCAGTGAAGTTATTTTTCTTAATGTCAAAGATTCGCAGCTTGGGGGGACTGAAAGAACTTTCAAGATAAGATATTGGTCCGTGGAACTCGTTGGCACGAAGAACAAGAATCTCTAGAATAGGCAAGACTCTCAACCAGTCTGGAAAGGTGTCGGTGATTATGTTTTCTTCCACGTTCAGAAACTGGAGACGAGTGCTGTTAATCAGAGACTTGGGTAGTTCTCCTGATAACCTGTTGTAACCAACATCAAGTGATATCAACATATTACTGATAAATTCTTCTGGAATAACACCAGAGATGCTGTTATTCCGAAGAGGCAAGACCGAAAGATAACTACTTAAACACGGAGGAATGAAGCCGCTAAATTTGTTGTTGGATAAAACAAGTCTATCAAGATAAAGCAAGTCCACAAATCGTCCTTGGAATCTCTCCCGAAAATAGATCAAGCGTAACTACTCCTCCGGTTCTTTAAATAACATCGGCAGATCTATCAAAACCGCTTAAGTAGTTCTGAGAGATGTTAACACGCGATATTTCCAGTGTCCAAAACCACTCTGGTACTTTGTCTTCAATTTGATTGACAGAAATGTCTAATAACAGCAATCTGGTTTGGCTTTGTAGAAACTTGGGAAACTGATATGCCTCAGAGGGTTTACATAAGGAAGATAAAGAAGTCAGAAGAGAGGAGATCGGGTGGGCAGGAGAAGAAGGATGGTGACGTGGAGATGGCTGTTAGAAGTTAGTTACGTGGGATGGTGACGTGGTGATGGCGGTTAGGAGTTAGTTACTTTTGAGTGGTGTTTACTGAACCTCATATATAAGAGGATTCAGAAGTTTATTGATTTTTAGCGAGATTTTGGATGAGCTATTGCTCACTGAGTTCTTGTAATTGGCTTAGTTCTCTGCTATTAAGAGACTGAGAGAGGGTGGTTGAGTGGTTCTTAATCAAAATTACATTCAGTGTCTATCAAATTGGTGACGGTGAGTGCTCTGGATCGGAACTTTCGCGACAAGTCAATGGCAGATTTCTCGTTGGAGGAGCGACAAATCTCGGTGGATTCTTTGGCGACGTCTCAGTTCGATATGGATCGGCGATTGACGACATCGATTCGATTGATGGAGGAAGAGGCGAAGGCGACGAAAGAGCGATTGGAATCGAAGATCGGTGATTTGGAAGCGCAGATTGAGATGCGGAGCTTTTGTGGTCACGGATCGAAAAGAAGCTGTCAAAGATTCCGGTAAGCTCAGACGATACTCCTACGCTGTATCGACACCCTAACTATCAGGTACATCACTCGAACGTCGAACCTGGCCGTATTTTTAGGCAGGACGAACCGGTTCATAGATATTCTGTGGTTGGAAGTCGAGAAAAGATGTTGAAACGGGTGGAACTTCCAATTTTTGAGGGGGACGATGCTTATGCTTGGTTTGCGTTAGCAGAGAGATTTTTCCGATTGAGAGGTTATGATGATAGAGCCAAATTGGAAGTGGTTTCAGTGAGTCTAGCTGGTGATGTGCTCAGTTGGTTCAATAGTGAGATGCATCGTCGTGGATTCGCGAGTTGGACTGATTTCAAAGAGAGATTGGTCACAAGATTCAGCAAGGAGAAGTTAAGGGATCCAAGTCAGCCATTCTTTTCTTTGAAATAGACTGGTTCAGTAGCTAAGTACATTCATTTGTTCGAAGATCTATCAACACAGGTTTCGGGGTTGACAGATAGACAACTTGAAGGGATATTCATGAATGGTTTACAACCAGCTATGAGGGAGGTGGTGAATATGTGTAAGCCGGTGGATCTGGATGAGATGATCTCAACAGCTTACCAAATGGAGGATAGTGTGATGTATAAGGTGGTGTGTCGAGAAAGGCAAGAAGCGTGGAAGAGTAGTAACACTAAACCTGCTTCGACTACAAGATTCAACCTTTCTAAGTCTCCTCAAGGAAAACTAGCAGAGCAACCGACTCAGAGGACTCCATTAAGATTGACAGAGGCTTAGATTGCAGAAAAGAATAGGTTAGGGCACTGTTTTACTTGTGATGACAAGTGGTCTCATCAACATCTATGTCCAAACAAAAACCTTCAGGTGTTAACGATGATAAACGGTCTTGAAGTGGAGACTGTGGATCAATCATTGGTAGAAGTTGAGGCAGATCAAGAAGGAGACGAAACAACTATGATGGGATTATCGTTGAACTCATTTTTGGGATTATCTTCTCCTTCTACTACAAAGCTACGAGGTGCTATTAAAAAAACAGAGGTCGTGGTGATGATTGATAGTGGTGCAACACATAATTTCATCTCGCCCACTGCAGTCAAGAAGATTAAGCTCAGCACAACATCAAATCCAAACTTGAACGTGCTGCTTGGTACGGGTATTTCGGTTCAAGGGACTGAAGTTTGCAAGAATGTACGAGTGAGCTTAGCTTCGATGAGTTTTGAGGCGAATTTTATTGTTTTGGAGCTGGGAAATGCAGATGTTATTTTGGGAGTTCAGTGGCTGAGGACTTTGGTAACTTGTGTGGTAGATTGGGAAAAGAACGAATGGTCATTTGTGTATAAGGGAAGGCAAGTTATTCTCCAAGGGGATCCATCGTTACATGGTATGAAGGTTTCTTTGAAGACCTTTTCTTCTGAAGTTCAAGCACAGACGAGAGGTGTGAAAATGGAATTGAGAAACGTTGTGTCTCAGAAAGAGAAGGGAGCAGTGTTGCCTGTGATTATTGAGAAGAAGTTACAATAGTATGATGCAGTGTTCCAAAAACCAAAAGGTTTACCACCGTTGAGAGGCAGAGAACATGCGATCATTCTTCATGACAACACAAAACCTATAAGTGTGAGACCTTATAGGTATCCTCATGCTCACAAGGAAGTCATGGAGAAGCTTGTACATGAGATGTTAACTGAAGGATTACTTCGACCGAGTGTCAGTCCGTACTCAAGTCTTGTGTTGGTGGTAAAGAAAAAGGATAATTCTCTTCGCTTTTGTGTTGATTACAGGGTGTTGAACCGAGCAACAGTGTTGGATAAGTACCCAATACCAATGATAGATCAACTTTTGGATGAGTTACACGGAGCTAAACTGTTTTCTAAGCTGGACTTAAGATCAGGATATCATCAAATGAGTATGTTGGAGAGAGATGTGGAGAAGACTGCGTTTAGGACTCTTGACAGTCACTTTGAGTTTCTTGTGATGCCATTCGGTCTCACAAATGCACAGCAACGTTTCAGGTGCTTATGAATGATGTTTTCAGGAAGTTTCTGCGGAAGTTTGTGTTGGTATTTTTTGATGATATCCTCATCTACAGAAAAACGTGGGAAGATCATGTGAAGCATCTTGGTTTGGTTCTGGACGTGTTTGTGGAGCAGAGACTGTTTTCAAATAGGAAGAAGTGTGATTTTGCTCAGTCTAAAGTTGAATACTTGGATCATGTTATATCTAACACTGGAGTTTCAACAGACAGTCACAAGATCGAAGCGGGGAAACGTTGGCCTACACCTAAGTCTGTCAAAGAATTGAGAGGATTCTTGGGGATTACAAGGTATTATAGGAGGTTTGTGAAGAATTACGGCTCTATTGCAAGGCCTCTTACGGATCTTTTAAAGAAAGATCAATTTATATGGACTGAAGTGGCTCAAGGTGCTTTTGACGAACTGAAGCAGGCGATGATAGTAGCTCCTGTGTTGGCATTACGAGATTTTAACAAGTTTTTCATTGTTGAGTCCGATGCTTCTGGTTTCGGATTAGGTGCTGTTCTCATGCAAGACTTACATCCCATTGCTTTCTTCAGCAGAGGTCTCACGCAGAAGGAGCAGCAGAAACCAATCTATGAGAGGGAGTTAATGGCCATCGTAATGTCGATTCAAAAGTGGCGCCACTACTTGTTGGGTAGAAGATTTGTGGTAAGGACTGATCAACAGAGTCTCAAGTATCTCTTGGAGCAACGTGAGATCACTTTGGATCATCAGAGATTGTTAACCCGAATTTTGGGGTATGAATTTGACATTGAGTATAAGGTTGGTAGTGAAAACAAAGTGGCGGATGGTCTTTCTAGAATTGATCATAGTGATGCGTCGGTTTTACACCATAGTCTGATGACAATGACATTGCCAACGTCATTACAGTTGCAGGATGTGTATAAAGAGGTTGATGATGATGGTGAGATACAACAAGTGATTTCTAAGATGAGATCAGGGTAGAAGGTTAAGGAAGGGTGTTCTGTGGTTCATGGAAGACTATTTTACAAGGGAGGGTTGGTGATACCAGCAACTTCAGTTCATATTCCATTGATATTACATGAATATCATGACAGTGTGTTAGGAGGTCACACTGGAGTGTTGCGCACGTTACAGAGAGTTAAAGCCATTTTTTATTGGTCTAAGATGAGGAAGACGATACAAGAATATGTTGCTGCGTGTGAAATTTGTCAAACACACAAGTATTCAACACTCTCTCCAGCGGGTCTTCTGCAGCCTATCAAATTACCAGAGCACATATGGGAAGATATCGCCATGGATTTCATTGAGGGCTTGCCTCTTTCTCAAGGAGCTAATGTGATATTGGTTGTGGTGGATCGTTTGAGCAAATATGGGCATTTCTTGACACTCTAACATCCCTTCACTGCAGTTGATGTGGCTGAGAAATTCATTAAGGAAGTGATACGGTTACACGGCTTTCCAAGATCCATTATATCTGATTGTGACAAGATATTTTTGAGCAAGTCTTGGAAAGAGTGTTTCAGGTTATCAGGGACACGGCTTAGATTCAGTACGGCTTTTCACCCTCAAACTGATGGCCAATCAGAGGTCTTAAACCGTTGTGTCGAAACATACCTTCGTTGCTTCGCTTCTACGCATCCTAAAACATGGCCGAAGTACTTGTCATGGGCAGAGCTGTGGTACAACACTTCTTATAACACAGCGTTAAAGTGTACTCCATTTAAAATGGTGTATGGAAGGGAGCCACCAACATTGGTTCCATATGAGGCTGGCTCTACGGTGAATTGTGAGTTGGATGACTTGTTACAGGAGCAGGAAAGGATGTTGAGCTCCATTAAACAGAACTTGTTGCGAGCTCAATCTCGGATGAAGGACAATGTTGATAAGCATATGCGTGAGTTGGAGTTGGAAGTTGGCTCTAAGGCTTACCTGAAGTTGAGACCTTATCACCAACAGCCAGTGAGCCAGAGGTTGTTTCAGAAGTTGGCTGCACGATATTACGGTCCGTTTGAGGTGCTTCCTCGTGTTGGGAAGGTGGCTTATAAAATGGCATTGCCTCCTCAGTCGAAGATACACCCTGTTTTCCACATTTCCCAGTTGAAACCGATTGTTGGGAATCCAGAACAGGCTATACCATTGTCACTAGTGTTGACAGCAGAAGAGGATTTGATTGTGGAACCAGAGGAGTTGTTGGAGCATAGGTATTATGAAGAAGGGTTCTTGGAGGTGTTGGTTAAGTGGTGTCACTTACCGGAACATGAGAATTCTTGGATGCGTGTTGGGGAGTTTAAACAGCAGTTTCCTTTATTCTCACTTGAGGGCAAGCTGACTCTTACCGATGGGGGTATTGATATGCCTCAGAGGGTTTACATAAGGAAGAGAAAGAAGTCAGAAGAGAGGAGATCGGGTGGGCAGGAGAAGAAGGATGGTGACGTGGAGATGGCCGTTAGAAGTTAGCTACATGGGATGGTGACGTGGTGATGGCGGTTAGGAGTTAGTTACTTTTGAGTGGTTGTTACTAAACCTCATATATAAGAGGATTCAGAAGTTTATTGATTTTTTAGCGAGATTTTGGATGAGATATTGCTCACTGAGTTCTTGTAATTGGCTTAGTTCTCTGCTATTAAGAGACTAAGAGAGGGTGGTTGGGTGGTTCTTAATCAAAATTACATTCAGTGTCTATCAGAAACTCAACGATATAGCAGGATGATAAATACAAGTTACCTAAATAGGGAAGACAGAGAGTTGAGCTGAACTTTAAATCATTCCCTGAAAGGTCTAGATACTTGAGCGACATGAGATGTGAGAGAAAACTCAAACCAACCATGATTCTTGTATTCATGTAGTTGAGTTCAAGAGCTTGGAGCCCGACAAGTTTTGACAAAGATCCTTGAATAGGCGCATTGAAATTGTTTTCTCCAAGAGATAAAAATTCGAGTTTAGAAGGTGAAGAAATATTCTTAATCTCAACAGGACCACTGAAGCAATTTCCTTCCATGTTAAGAAGAATCAAGGAAGGGATCATAAACAGAGGTGACGGTAAAGATCCATGAAATAAATTTCCATTTATATCTAAAGATTCCAGACGGGTGAGGCTACTCATGTTAGATGGGAGCATACCTTTAAACTTGTTGTAACTAAGTCTGATGTCAGTGAGTGAGCTCAGATTGAGTAGCACAGCAGGAAAGTTCCCACCAAGATTGTTATATCTAAGTTGCAAATCTGATAGTCGGTTTAGGTTGCCCATTGAATCTGGTAGCTCTCCGGAGAATTGATTAATAGAAAGATCAAGATCAGAGAGATAAGAAATATTTCCGAGTGAAGAAGGAATTTTTCCAAAGAAGTTGCAGTAGCGAAGCTTCAACACCCTTAAATATTTGAGGTTACTGATGGCATCTGGTAGAATGCCCGGAAGGTTATTGGTGCTAAGATTAAGACTCTGAAGGTGTTGTAGTCTTAAAAGGCTACTAGTAGATCTCAAAGGGCCGTTGAGAGAACTGCCCCACAGGTCTAACTCTACCACCTTACCTGTTTTTGAATCACAAGAGATACCATCCCAAGAACAACAGTCAGTGTTGTTCCTCCACCTCTCTGTCTTCAAATCAGACTCCCACCAATAGGAATCTAACTCTTGGACAGAGAATTCAGTCTTGAACTCCCAAAGAGCATCTCTTTGGTCTGGAGGACACAAATGCTTAGCAGAAGAAGCAAAAACAAGTATTAAATCAGAAAGGGAGAACAGGAAACACAAGCTCCATATTATCATAATCCTCTCAATGCAAGAATGCATTATAATTTTTCTCTTTTGTTTTTTTTTTCTTTTCCTGTGAGAGAGTGATGCTTACTAGTTATCTTATTACATTTATAGGAGAAAAAGGAAAGCTTGACTCTTCAACAAGTCTCCTTTGAAGACTAATTGGTGGATGGTCCACAAAATATCTTAAACAATAACGCCGAGGACGAAAGGCGACACTGACCTACAATCCCTTAAGACTAAGAGTTAGCATTACTAGATGCAATTATTAACTATGAGGTTGCAAAAGATACTTGAATATTGTATCAAGCTGATAAATGTTAACATAATATCCTGGTTTGCTCAACAATCTAGAAAGCAGGGGCTTTATGGTTAAACGCCTGGACATTTCGGATATAATTTCGTTCGGGTATTTCATATTTCAGATATTTTGGTAATCAGGTAGTTCAGGTAAATGATTAGAGGATTCACATATTACATGTCCTATTTGGGGTTAGGTAGTTTCGGATATGGATAGTAAAATTAGGAACCAAAAAATACTAAAAAAGATTTTTAATTATTTTTTGGTTTCGGTTCGGCTATTTGAGTTATTTGGATAATTCAAGTTAAATATCAGGTAAAATATCGAATAATTAGAATGATTCGAATAATTTTTTTGGATATTTTGGATTACCTAAGACATTTTAGATGAAATATTCAGATACTTTCATATACTTTTGGGTTACTCGGATACTTTATAATAATTTAGTTTTCTTGAAATATTTTCGGATATATAAATAATAGATTTATAAATTTGAGTATCTTTTTGGTTCTTGATTCAGTCGGTTTTGTTTCTAGTTCGGTTGTGTTTCTGGTTCGGTTATTTCAGATATAAAAAGTATAGGAACCATTCGCGTATTTCGGTCCAGTTCTTGTTTTAGGTATTTTGGTTCGGTTTCTGTTCAGATCTTCAATTCCAGTTTTTTTTTTTTAAAAATTTACCAAAGCCTAGTTTAACTCTTTGATTTAAACTTATATATATATATATATATATTGAAACAGAAGCATTATAGATAAATTCTTTTTATCTATGACACGTATCTATAAATGTTTTTTAAGATCTAACTCATAAGGTCTATATTTTCTTATAAATTTATAATTCTCATGATTTAGATCTTAAAAAGAATTTATGAATTTTATAAAAAAAAATATTTTGATTAGTAAAAATCCTAATCAAGTTATTATAGATATTTATCAATGATATAAATTTAGATTTACTAAAATTGAATAGTTTTCAACATAGATGAGTGAATGTAAGTTAGTCATGTATTCTTTGGTTTAGAGTTTGGTAACTATGTTATAGTATTGTGTGTTTTTAGGGTTAGATTGTGGAATTTTATTTTTTTTTTGTTTTTAAAAACTAAATTTGACCTATATGCATTTAGTTTTGTGTATATTAAACATGTTATAGGTTTATTTTAAATTTAATAAAGTTTTTGTATGTGATTTAGTTATATATTTGATTTTGGAGTTTTTGAAGACTTAAGTTTTCGAAGATAATGCCCTAGAAGACTTATTAGAAGACTTAACTACCATTTTCCGCTTAAAATTTTAGTAGAATTTAGGTTTAACGCCTATTTATAAGTCTTCTAATAAGTCTTCCAGGGAAATTCATCTATTGTATTAGTTCTTAAAATAATTTATATTTTCATAAAAAAAATATATTGATAGGGGAAAATCACAATCTTCTAATTATAAAAATAAGTGATATAAATTTAGATTTAATAAAATTAAATTGTTTTCAACATATATCAGTAAATGTAAGTTAGTCATGATATTTTTTTTGGTTTTGGTTTGGTTACTATGTTATAGTATTTTTAGTGTTAGATTGTAGAATCTTAATTTTTTAAACTAAATTTGACATATATGTGTTTAGTTTTGGTATGTTAAACACTTTATAAGTTTATTCTAATTTTAATAAAAATTTTGTATGTGAGTTAGTTATATATATTTGATTTTGTGGTGTTAAAAGATTCATATTTTCGAAGATAAAATGCACTAGAAGATTTAGTGGATGACTTAACAACAATTTTCCGCTTAAAATTTTAAAAGAATTTAGGTTTCCTACTTAAAATTAAGTCTTTCAATATATAAGTCTCCCAGGGAAAGTCTTCTAGTGTATTAGTTCTTAAAATAATTTCTAAATTTCATAAAAAATATTTTAATATGGGAAAATCATCATCATCTAATAATAGAGATTTGTAAGTATATAAGTTTAGATTTAATAAAACTGAATTGTTTTCAACAAATTGAATTGTTTTGTTAGATTTTGGAATCTTAATTTTTTAAAATATTTAAATTTGACATATATGCTTTTAATTTTGTGTATATTAAGCACTTTATAAGTTCATTTTAGGTTTAATGAATTTTTTTGTTTTTTGAGATTTAGTTAATTACTTGATTGTATGGATTGAATGACTTATTAAAAAAATTTCTAGTAAATAATGCACTAAAAAACTTCAGTGTAAATTTTCATTGTAAATAATATATTTAGGGTCTATAAGACTTCTTGGAAGACTCTCATTTAAGTCTTCTCTTCTATTAGAAGACTCTTCATTAGAAGATTTACATGAAAGTCTTCTCTGTCAAAAATATTTAGTGGAGATACATTGCTTTCAGAGTTGCGGTTGACAGTGGTAAGCGTAAATTCTTCTTTAGAATATACAAGTCAACGAAAATTTTTCTTGTGGTAACATGTCTTGGAAAATTAACGGAGCGGCCGTTGGAATGGGATGTGCCATGGGCCAGTGGATAAGTCAATTAATTATATGTTAACTAGACGAACCGAACGTCCACGCATAAGTCAACTATTTATATGTTAACTAGACGAACCATCTTAATACGTATAAAGATTTACACACAGGGCATGCATGGTACTAGAGCGAATCTTTTATTTCAGAAGCATAGATTCAACAAAAATTGATATATCAATGCAAAACCCCATTAAATAACTTTCTCTAAAAAAAACATTAAATAAACATTACTGCTCGGCCCACAATCCACCAACTACTAGGGCTGCGACTTTTATCCGGGATCCGGATTCGATCCGAGATCCGCTCTGGAATTAAGATATTCGAGGGTGTCCGAATCCAGATCCGGATAATAAAATCTAGGTGGTTCTCTGATATCACGAGGTGGTTCTCTGATATCACGAGGTGGTTCTTCGTCTCGAGGTCGCGACGTGGCGGTTCCGAGCCAAAATATTTTTTCTTTGGCTTCTCCCAAGGAGAGGGAGGCGTATGCTAAGATTTCGGACGCCAATTCTAAGGTATATTATGTTTTTTCTTATCTCCTTCTAGCGAGTAGATCTTGCTCAGATAACCCTAAAATTTTGCATGTTATGGTTGCTGTCGACGAATTTGCTGCGATGTTCGAGAGTTCGGCGAGGGAGAGCGAGCGAGATCACGAGCTGAGGTTAAAAGACTCAAGGAATCGTTCCGGAAGGTGAAAGCGGATCTTAAGAAGAAAACCAGAAAGGCCATGTTATAGACAGTGTTGTTGGTTTTTGTCTTCCTATATAAAGAAAAATATTATACATTTTTTTTCCTCTCAAATGGAGGCAACAAAAACTTTCCAATCTCTCTCTAAACTATTTAAATTTGATAACACCAAATCTTATATCAATTTTCATTTTATGCGTTTTCACTATTTTATCATGTTTTTGCAGGTTTTTCATTACATAGTTGTCATCTTTCACCAATTTAAAGGTAGATTTATAAATTTTGGATATGTTTTTTGTATCTTTTATATGTTAGATTCTAATAAGTTATGGATTCAATATAATATGATTGTTTTAGTTGTTATTTAAGCTTTAAAACATTTTTTTTTGAATTGTTTCTCTGTTTTGATGTCATTTGAACGTTTTTGGATATGCATGTTTTTTCAAATTTGAGTTAGACATTGGAAGGCTTACAGAAGACTTACAAACGACTTTTAGATGACTTTCAGAAGACACTTAGAAGACTTTCTTGGAAGTCTTCTAACGTAGTCTTCTTCCATGTCTTCTATTTCATAACATATTTGAGCGTTTTGGCATGTTTTCATGTCTGATTTTTCTTCATTTAGTAATTTCATGTTGCATAAATGTTTCTTACATTTTTCCAAACTAAAATTCTCCAAACTCTCTTTAATCTCTTTAAACATGAAAAGGGAAGTATTCTCTAAAAACATACAAAAAGTCAATTGCAAAACTAACTTATGCTTCGACTAGAATACTTACGTTTATGAAATTGATTCTTACCTTCAACCACTGAAAAAACTTGATTATTACTTCCCCAAGCACACATAACTTCACCACGACAGCTAACCAATCGTTAATGACCAGGAATGATGAGTTTGAATGGTTTTATGAAACACGATTTTTTGGATGAATATAGAGAGAAAGTGAGAGAGATTTAGTTTTTGTGCATAAGATATGAGAAAGAATGAGTAAATTTCATTTTTAGATGCATTTGGAACTTCATATTGGTTGTTCATGGTTGTTGGGTCAATTGATGGCAATATTATTTTGTGTTTAATTGATGAAGATGAGGATTTGATAGAATAAAACACTAATTTTTGAAAACAATGGCATTTTTATAAATAATCAGAACTTCTAGGGTGAATAAGGCAAATGAAATATTTAAAAAAAGTGGTTAATTTTGTGTTTAACTTGGAGTTTTGAGTTTGCAAAACTCCCATAAAATACATAATATTTTAGTTTTAAAATTTGCGTTGAACAAGAATTGAGAACTTAAGATTTAATTTCAATACTAGATTTTGACCCGCGCTTGAGTAGCACGGGTTTTGTTTTGGTTGTAACAAAATGTATGAAATTTTTAGATTTTTATTATATAATAGTTTTATGTTTGAATGTGATGTATATTTAACCTTTTAGTTGAGTCTTTTCATTGAGTTATGCATAATCGAGTTAGTTTGTGGTTGAACCGAGAATCAGAAAATTAAGTGTTGTGAGAATATGAAGAATTAAAACACATATTAGATCCATATGCAAAAAT